CTATTGTTTTGCTATTTTTTGTTTGTTCCATCCATCATTTTTTCCTCTGTTCCTCCTTTTTTCCTTTTTTTGAATTAAATAAATATTTTTTACTATTTATTTCTATATTGCCTTCTTAGCTATATGTCTTTGCATTATTCTTCTCATTGTTGATTGATGGAATAACATATGAATTCATAACATCACAGTTTTTCTTAGAATTAAATTATACCACTCTTTTTTAAACAAAAGCATCACATAACAATATATTTACATTTACCTTTTCCTTTCTGCTAAAGCTGTCATTTGTATGACATCAACATACATTACAAACTTCACAAAAATGTCAAAATATTTCTTTAAATTATATTCTTTAAAACAATTGAGAAAACAACAAGATATTCTCTTTTATTTACCCACATATTTACCATTTTCAGTGATCTTCATTCTTTTCTGTAAATCTAAAACTTATATCTGGTGTCATTTCCCTTCAGCCTGAAGAACTTTCTTTGGCATTTCTGGTAGTACATAAATTATCTCAGTTTTTATTAATCTGAAAATATCTTTACTCCACTTTTATTTTTAAAGTTATTTTTGCTGGATACAGAATTCTGGTCTAACACTAAAAATTTCACTCAATTTCTTCTGGCCTCCATTTTTTCTGATTAGAAGTGAAATACAATTATTATTTTTCCCTGGGTGTGTAATATGCCATTTTAATCTGATGACTTTCAAAATTTTTTCTTTACTTTCGGCTTTAAATATTTTATTCTGATGTACATAGATTTGATGTTATTTTTATTCATCCTATTTGGGATTTACTAAGATGCTTGGATCCATAAGCTTATATTTTTCACTAATTTGAAAATTTTGGGCCAACATGTATTCAAATATTTTTGCAAAACACTTTATTCTCTTGTTTTGAGACTCCAATGTATATTATATTTCTTGCATTGTTATACAGGTCATTGAGACTATTCACTTTTTTATTCATTTTTATCTCTGTTTTTCAGATTTAATAATTGCTATTAATCTATCTTCAAGTTCATTGACCCTTTCTTCTACCTATTCCTGTCTATTGTAAAGCAGATTACTGAATTTTTTATTTCAAATATTTTAATTTTTAGTTCTAGATTTCTTTACTGAGATTCTACATCTGTTTACTCACCATAAACATATTTTTCTGTAAGTTTTTGAAACTATATACACTAGCTGCTCTAAAGTCCCTGACTACTAAATTAAATCATCTTAGGATTGCTTTATACAGACTGATTTTCTCTTGACAAAGGGTCATAATTTTCTGTTTGTTCCAATGTTGAGCATTGTGGATAATAAATGAGAGTGATTCTGGATTCATTAACCTTGGTACACTTGCTGTCTCTGATTAGGCTCAATGTCAGGAAGTCTCACTAGAATACAGTGCTTGGACTTGCCAAACTCATTCACCTTGGCCTTCTCCTACCAGTACATGCAAGGATGAAATTCACCTAGTTAGGCCATATTTTTTCTCTGGGATTTCACATTACAGTGTGTATAACACTAATCATACTGCACTGAAAAGAGGCTGCAAGTAGATCATTAGCTACTCAAAGCAAGACTTGGGTCTTATTTATTTCTGCATTCCTAGTGCCTGACCCAGTGCCTGGCACTCACAGTGGACATGCATGTCATATTTGTTGACGTAACAAACCAAAAAATTTAAAAAGTCATAAATCATACAATGCTACTACAAATTTTATAAAATACTGAAATATGTGGGCTTTTAAATTCAGAAGCAAAGACTCTAAGTTCAGTTCCAATTGAAGATATCAGTGAACTACAATACAAGATACAATTAAGTGCCCATGTAAACATGTCAACAAATATATTCATGATCATCAATACACTTTGTTTACAAAGGCAGGAAAGGAACTAGGACATTTCAGAGACTATCCATACTGATTGAAATGATGCTTTAGCTAAAACTAAAGTTTACTTATTCATGATACTTTATTCCCTGATGAGAATTAATAAATGAGTGTGTGTGTGTTTGTGCATGCACATTTGGACATGTGGATGAAGTAATAAAAAGCATGGAATTTAGAATTAACAGATTTATAATTGAGGCTCACTTCTGTTTTAGTCCTATTTCTGTCTCCAATGATGTATGTGACCTCGGGGAAGTAATTTAAACTATCCACTGACGGTGGATTTCTCTGGAAAATGGGAGATTAATATCTTACAGGAGTGCTATGAGAATCAAATGAGGTCATGAACGTGAAAGACCATTATGAAATGTAAAGAGCTATATAAATATTAGGGATGGATATTAAATGAAATAATGCAAATAAAACACTTTTTATCACAATGCTCATAACATCTAAAACTTTTATATGTTAGCCCCCTCCCCACAAAAACACCCACGTGCATGTATGTGTACATATATACGTCCATACACATGCACACACACACACACACACACACACGCTTATACCTGGTACACACACCTCAGCAGTGGCAACAAAACTGACCTGGACTCTTGCACATTTTCAATATATCTTCTTAAAAGTTAAGCTCTGTGTGCTTAACCATAAACTACCTGTTTGTCTTTGGCTTTATCTCATCTCTCCTGCCCACTTTCCTTCCCTCCCTTCTTCCAGAAGCATTTGTATCCATTAATAAAATGTTTTATTCTACTTATTGTTGAGAGGACTGCAGCAATTTTCTCCTGTAATTCATCATGAATTGCAAACAGGGAATGTAAAAGGATATCAGAAAGCTACACAATTAAGACTGTACAAATCATATTTCACAAGTTTTAAGTTCCATAATAGTCTTTTCATAATTTTTCCTAAAAGATAAAATTTGAAATATCTTAACTCTTGATTTTATATGTCAAGCTATCAAGAAATCATTTTTAAGCTCGTTGACGTTATTGTCCTGGTTGTGGCTAAAACATATTAACCCAGTGTTAATCCAGTTTCCTTTAAAAGAAAGGCTTTTTATAGTCTAGTTTTAAATGACTAATTAATGTAATTATATAATAGTCAACTGAGTTTATGGAGCAAGTAAGAACTGCCTGTAGGGAATCCTGCAATGGGAGAAAATAATTTCAAATATGCTCTTAGGATTGTCACCCCTACTCTGTTATTTTCTCTGTTAGTTGACCTTAGGTGAGGGACGTCTGTAAGGTAGACAGAGGGAATATGATAATATGTATCTATCAAAAAATACACCTGGAAATCTTTGGATAAGACCTTACACTTAATAGGTGTCTGCATAGCCATTCACCCAAAGGTATGCTAAGCACCCACTTTTTACCAGGCTAATATTCAACAAGATAGTGGGCATACAGAGGTGAATAAAACACCTGCTCACCTAATACCTCTGGCATTTTCAGCATTTGTGTCTCTGCTCAGGCTCTTCCTTTTTCCCTTATTGGCCTCCCAGACATCAATTGACCCAATGCCACGAAAAGTTAATTAAATATCATCTCTCTTTGAATGCTTTTCTGACCTTCTAAATAGATTTGACCAGTTCCTTTTTTCAAATAACACCCCTGACCCCAGACAACAATCCTGTACATGTGGCAATAGCAAGTTTTTGTAATTCTTGTTATTTTGTCTGCCTTCCCAATTGGACTATGAATAATGTGAAACAGAGTCCCTGCATGACTCATTATGGTAAGCTCGGTGATAGTTAATTGCTTCACATAGTGCTTGAGGTATATACATAGATTGAATAAATAAATTATATTATAGGCATTTCTCTGATGAAAGAAAGAGCTAAATTTAAAAAGTACTAAAGGAATGGAAGTATTTTTGATGTATTATATAAGAAAAGAAAGATAAAGGATCATGGGTAGAGGGAGATAGATATCGGGGAATAATCACGGTGGTGATGATGATAAAAACAATGGGAATAGGGAAAATATCCCCCACATCAGCTGGCAATGTAAGTGTTATGAATAGATTATGGGAGGCAGCAAGAAAATGACATGCTGCTCCTGATTTATCATGCTGAAGGATCCGTGACCACATATGCCTACCCACTTTTATATTATTGCAGTTTTCTTGTAAAAGCTGCTTCTACCAGTGGGTCGAAAGCCATGCAAAGTAACTAGCCGTGCAACTAATACTAGAAGGGTATCCACTCCCCCATAAGGTGTTGGAGGGAGGGACAGGAATGGTATTGAAACACATAGGGAATAAGGGGATGATATGGAAAAAGGCAAGGAAACTCTCAATAGAAAAGACCACCTTTGCCCTTCAACATCCATCTATATCACCTATCATTCCTCAACCTCCCAGCCGAGAACATTCTCCAATTTAGTGAAAAAATAATAGGGCCTATATAAGCAAAAACAAAGTCAAAGGATACTTCTCTAAGAGAGTCTAAAGAAACAGTAACAGTCTGTAAAGGAGGGAAGTTGGGTCTCGTTTCATATTTCTGCTTGGATTTGAGGGAAGAAATATTTATAACAGAGCAAATTCTTTAAGAATATGATGAAAAAGGCACACTTGTGCATATCGTCAAAATTTGGTGAATAATTTCAAAAAAGTGTTAAAAAAAAAAACAACCCTGACACCTACCCAGGTACCCTTGGAAGTATGGGCCTTTTGTTGAAACATTGTTTAGAAGGATATGAGGTGCTGGTCATCAGGGGAGACACCACCACCTGCTATGATGTCACCAACTGTAACAGCTTGCCCCAAGGGAACACGGCAGAGGACCCTCACCTCCAGCTTGTGCTCTCCTTACACAGTGCTCTGCATAACAGAAAATTACAGGTCACCTAGAAGATGCTCAGCCCTATTTCAGTGGCTCAAAATGGAAAACACCACATGTACTCACTATTAAATTGGACCTAACTGATGAACACATAAGTGCACAGAGGGAAGTAAAACACAGTGGAAAGCAACCAGGGGGGAGGGGAATAAACTAACCTAATGGGTACTATGAACACTATTTGGGTGACCGGCACATCTATAGCTAGGACTCAAGCATAACAAAAATGATTCATGTTACCTAAAACATTTGTACCCCCTTAATATTTAGAAATTTTTAAAAAAGAAAGAAAACTGGAAAGTAAGGGATAGGAATTGACCTGGAGGTGGAATAACAATGGTGTCATGAGTGTGTGAAAACAAATGTTAGAAAGTGTCTTCCAGCTCTGTCTCAGAGTAGAGGAAAACTCTGGTGGGAAGCTCTATGTAACATCCCACAACTTTCCCCATTGAGGATATAAAGCAACATAGCATGGTTATGTTTATTTTGATATAAATAAGTATTGGGAGAAGTAAAATTTTTGCACTCTTTACTGAGAGAATGGAAGTTAACGGCATTTACCTTGGACCCTGGAATTAGTACAACCGAATCCTAACACAACAACTTCAATGCTTTTGCAGCTACTACATATAAATCAAAAATCTAAAAAGTTCACATAGGTTGAGAAGAGTCTTTACAAAAAAGTGCAACTGGATAAAAATGCAGTTACAGAGAAAAGCCACTAACTGATATATCTTCTCCTTGCTTAGCCTCTAGGGAACAGCAGAGATTTTTGCCTTGATTGCACAGAAGGAAGGAATACACATAGAAATGAATACTATTTAAGGAGCTAATTTGGCTAGATAATAAAAGAAGGACCCTTTTTTGCAAAGCTGTTCATTTTTCAATCAGCAAGAATTAAGGAAACCCTTTTTAAAATGACTGTTGCAGGGAACATGATTTAACTCCTGAGAATGAAAGCTTTCTCTTTTGTATAAGAAGAGAGAAATGAAAGCTGCTGCTTATTTTCCCAATACCCCTGCCACCTAAGTTCCCACTACCTCTTCTCCACATCCCCTTCCCAGACTAAGTCAAGAATTTCACTATTAGAGAGTTCAGATAAAATGGGGCCCCTTAAAGTTTCAAAACCCAAATCCTCAAGCACAGAAACAAGTAGAATTAGACTGACTTGGAATGATTCTTATATTTGGTTACAAAATTCACGAGAGCAGAAAACCTGCTTTTTGCCATCCTTAGAAGTAAAAAACAAAAGCATTTCCACTCTCTGACATTATGCTCAACAAACATTGTATTGGATGAACGTGTGTGTCTCCTGACAAAATGATTCAATCTGTTAAGAAATGTTTCTGCCCACAACTCTGTGCAGTGCATCTTTGACCTCCTTGTTCCTCAGACTGTAAACAACAGGGTTCAAAAGGTGAGTGATGATGGTGTAGGTCACAGAGAGAAGAAGGTCTTTTTCTATTGAACTTTCCAACTTGGGCTTGAGGTGGGCAATGGAGGCACAGCCACAGTGGACAATGACCACAGTGAGGTGGGAGGCACAGGTGGCAAAGTTCTTCTTCTGGCCCTCAGCTGAGGCAATTTTAAGGATGGAGGAGATGACGAGGACATAGGAGATGAATATCAGGCCTATGGGCACAAAAATCACAAATGAACTTACACCATAATTGATTATCTCATTGATAGTGGTATCAATGCAAGGCAGTTTCATGACTGGGTAAATGTCACAGAAGAAGTGGTCCATCACTGTGCCACAGAAGGGCAAATTGAACATGGATGTCACATGGAGAACTGCCGTAACCAGACCAGTGCCAAAGGACCCACATACCAACTGCGCACACATTCCTTTGCTCATGATGACTGTGTACCTCAGGGGCTTGCAGATGGCCATGTAGCGGTCATAGCCCATTGCTGTCAGCAAGAAGCAATTGTTGGTAGCCAAGATGACAAAAAAGAACATCTGGGTTGTACAGCCTACCAAAGAGATGGGCTGATTGTGAAAAATGAGACCGGAAAGCATCCGTGGGACAATAACCAGTGTATACACCATCTCTGAACTAGCCAGCATGCTCAGGAAGAAATACATGGGTGTGTGGAGGTGATGGTCAACGCGGATGATGGTCACAATGATGATGTTAACAGCCAGAGTTAAAATGTAGATGGTTAGGAAAACCACAGAGAGGGTTATCTGATGCTTTCCAAAGCTAGAGCATCCCAAGAAGATGAATTCTTTCACTTCTATGAAGTTCTTTTTCTGCATTCTCTTATATCAGTGTCTGAAAGCAATAAAGAAAGTCATCAAGAGGAAATTCCATCAGCAATTGGACTTTAAAAAGCAAGGGACAGTGATAGCTAAAGCGAGAGAGTGAACCCAATGCCTTTCTTTTTGAGCAGCATGCTCATGGATAGGATCCTTGCACATGGAGAGACAAACCTATCTGTGCTTCTTCGCGGTGTAAACGATGAACAATATCACTGCAGAACAAACTATTTCCTGTGCATGAAGACTTCTGAACACATGCACACCTCACAGACATCATAGTGATGCTAGGAAGGGAAAAGGGGCACCAAGGAGAAAGTCATTCTCTGTGTCTCAACCAATATTGATATCTACCACTTAGACCCTTCTAACAAGGAGGAACGCTGGTGAAGTGGATGTTGAGAAAACCATAAAAGTGAATGTCTTTAGAAAAAAGGGTATAGCGGTAAGTATTAAAGGAAGGCAGACTTTGAAGGGTGGCCACAAAGGGCCTTTTAGGCAGTGTTTCAGTTGAATTCTGAGTGTAGAAACTTGATTTCCGAGAGGTGATACCGTCCAAACACGTCGTTGTACCCTCAAAACAGAATAACCACAAAACATTTTCACTCCACTGAAAATGATCATTCAAGTCCCACCAAAAAATATTTTTTTTTCCTAATTCCAGTAGTCCTTTTGATTGAAGTCAGGAAGAGAAAGTTATGATTGAGAAAACATGTTTAGTTTCCACTGTAATCGTAAAGAATTAGGACAACTTGAAGTTTGGACGAGGGGATGTAAGCTCTTGGATTGAAAGAGGAGGAGGAAAGTATCATCTAGCTGTTTGAAGTCCAACTGGCTTATCTATTTTATAAAAACTATTGAATAGGCAATTTGATATAATTGTAGGAAGCAGAGACACTAGCCCCTTTTGTCAAAAAGTGAGTTTATATAACTTATATAAAGAAGATACATCTGATCCTGTGGTTCTCTACAGTGACAACCTCATTGTTCTCTCTTCATTTTCAGAATTACTGAAATAGAATTTCTCTCCTACACCCTGCAATTCCCTACAAGTTGTCTTAGCCATGTTCACGCCCATGAAATTGTTTGTTCAAATGTCACTGAAGAAGCCTCTATTGCTAAAGCCATCAGACTTTGCTTTTTCTTTTCTTTTCTTTTCTTTTTTTTTTCTCATCCATCTCTGCTTTGACACTTCTAACCCTTGCCTCATGGAAATATTCTCCGACCTTGGTTTCCATGACACCACACTGTTTTTCTCTCTTCCCAGCACTCATTTGGTTACCTCCCATGAATTTTTTTATTCTACCTATACCATAATTATATACACTGTTCTCTGGTCAATCCCTGCCCCTTATTTTTTTCTCTCCATACTCTCCCTCTCATTTTTTTCTGTTATTATTTCTGTTGATTGCTTTCAAATCTCTATTTCCATCACTAATCTTTTTCCCACATCTCCAGCTTACCTCCCTCTTTACTTTTTTATTTGTGTGCTTTGCAATCATAATAACTTTTACATTTTTGAAAGCAAGCTAAACATCAGTCTTTCTTATATCCAGAAAACGCTCTCCATCTCAACTTTTCTATCTTCCTCAAGGATCTTACCATTATTCCAGCCAATCAGGTCAGCAATTTAGAGCCACATCTACTTTGGCATTACACTCAGTGGGCTTTTCCTTAAAGTATATCTCCTGTCTGTCCAATTTCTGAATGTACAATAACCTATTTAAGATTAAGATACCAAATCCTCTAGCCAAGATAATAAAACATTCTCATTCTAAAATTTATATGGATATGCAGAGGACCAAGAATGTTAAAACAATTTGGAAAAAATGTACAAAGTTAAAGGACTTATACTACTTTTAGGCTACAGTAATCAAGATAGTATGGTATTGGGGGAAGAATAGACAACGGAACTAAATGGAGAGTCCAAAACTAGATCCACATATATATGTTTAAATGATTTTTGATAGTGTTGAGGCATCTTAATAATGATGTTTTCAACAAGTGTTTTCGGAACAATTGAATAGCCATACAAGAAAAAACAAACCCCAAGCCTTACCTCATGCCATACATAAAAAATAACTCAAAATTAACTATAAACATATATAAAAAGGTAAAACTACTAAAAATCCAGACAAAAATAATGGAGAAAATCTTGACCTTGAAATGAGCAGAGTCCTTAGATATGGAACAAAAAGCATGAACCATAAAAGAACACAATCACAAATTGCACTTTATCAAAATTAAAATTTCTACTCTTCAAAAGGCATTGTTAGGCTGTCTACAGGAAACACACCTAAACCTTAAAGATGCCTCCTAGCTGAAGATCAAGGGATGGAAAACAATCATCCAAGCAAACGGAAGTCAAAAGGAAGCAGGGGTTGCTATATTATTTGCAGACAACATTAGTTTTAAATTAACAAAAGTTAAAAAGGATAAAGAAGGCCACTTCATAATGGTGAAAGGGAAGATCTAACAAGAAGACCTAACAATTCTTAATATTTATGCTCCCAATGCAGGAGCACTGAATTACATAAAGCCAACCTTGTCAGAGCTAAATACCACCCTAAACAATACTGCCATAGTAGCAGGGGACTTCAGAATTAGCGCCGCTAAATGACACTGGAGTTAATCCTCCAAACAGAGATTAAGTAAAGAAATAAGGGACCAAAACAAGGATATTGAAAAAAAGTTCTGACAGATCTATATAGAACATTTCACCCAAATAAATTGGAATTTACATTCTTCTCAGCAAGCCCGAGGATCCTTTCTCAAAAATTGATCACATACTAGGCCACAAAGCAGATCTCAAAAAATTCAAGAAAATAAAAATAATACCTTGTGACTTCTCTGACCATAATGGTATAAAATTAGAGTTCAACTCTAACAGAATATACACACATCACTAAGTCATGGAAACTAAACAACCTACTGTTGAAAGACTATTGGGGTCAAGGAAGAAATTCAGAGGGAAATCAAGAATTTCTTCAACAAAACACAACGGAGCCACATCTTACCAAAACTTTGGGATACAGCAAAAGCGTATCTGAGAGGAAACATAGCAAACAAATGCTCACATCCAAAAACAGAAAGATTATATACTGACAACCTAATGAATAGACTCAAGGAATTGGAAAAAGAAGAGCAAACCAATTCCAATCCTGGCAGAAGAAAGAAATATCTAAATCAAAGCTAACTAATGAAATGGAGAATAAGAGAACTATATGGAAGATCAACAAACCAGAAGCTGGTTTTTTGAAAAGATCAACAAAATTGACAGCTCTCTGGCTAGGCTGACAAGAACTCAAAGGGAAAGGACTCTAATAACCTCAATAAGAAATGAAAAAGGAGAGATCACAACAGACTCCACAGAAATACAAAACATTATGTTTGACTACTATAGAAATCTATATGCCCCAAAACTACAGAATGAAGAAGAAATGGATAGATTCCTGGAATCACACAACCTCCCTAAGTTCACCCAGGAGGAAAATGAGTTCCTGAACAGACCAATCACAAGCTCAGAAATTGAAGCAGTAATTAAAAACCTCCCCAAACGGAAAAGTCCTAGGCCAGATGGCTACACCCCAGAGTTCTACCAAACATTCAAGGATGAACTCATACTTATACTAGAGAAACTATTCCACACCATTGAGAAGGATGGTACCCTTCCTAACTCATTCCACGAAGCCATTATCACCTTGATACCAAAGCCAGGAAAGGATGCAACAAAAAAAGAAAATTATAGACCAATATCCCTCATGAATATAGATGCAAAAATTCTAAACAAAATTTTAGTAAATAGAATTCAGCAGCACATCAAAAAAATAATTCACCATGACCAAGTTGGGTTTATTCCTGGCATGAAAGGCTGGTTCAACATACACAAGTCTATAAATGCAATCCACTTTATAAATAAAGCCAAGAACAAAGACCATATGATTCTGTCAATAGATGCAGAAAAAGCATTTGATAAAGTCCAACATACCTTTATGATAAAAACCTTTAACAAAATAGGCATAGATGGCCCTTAAATTTATCAAATCCATCTATTACAAACCAACAGCTAACATCATTCTAAATGGGGAAAAATTGAAATCATTCCCGCTTTGAACCGGAACTAGACAGGATGCCCACTTTCTCCCCTCTTATTCATATTCAACATAGTGCTCGAAGTCTTAGCTATAGCAATCAGGCATGAGAGGGGTATTAAGAGCATCCAAGTTAGGTCAGAAGAGATCAAACTCTCACTGTTTGCTGATGATGATATTATATCTAGAAATCCCCATGGACTCATCCAAGAGACTCCTAGATCTGATAAATGAATTTGGTAAAGTTTCAGGATATAAAATCAATATACACAAATCAGAAACATTCATATATGCCAAAAACCATCAAGCAGAAACTCAAATCAAAAACAGAATACCCTTTACTATAGCTCCAAAGAAAATTAAATATCTAGGAGTATATCTAACAAGAGATACGAACGATTTATATAAGGAGAACTATGAAACACTAAAAAAAGAAATTGCAGATGATTTAAACAGATGGAAAAATCTACCATGCTCATGGCTAGGAAGAACCAATATTATTAAAATGTCAATATTACCTAAGGTGATCTACAGAATCGATGCAATTCCCATCAAAATACCACCAGCATTCTTTACAGATCTAGAAAAAATAATCCTTCACTCTTTATGGAACCAGAGAAAACCATGCATAGACAAAGCAATCTTAAGTATGAAGAACAAACTGGGATGGATCAGTCTTCCTGACTTTAAGCTGTACTATAAGGCAATAATAGCAAAATCTGCCTGGTACTGGCACAAGAACAGAAACATCAATATCTTGAATAGATTTGAGATTACTGGCACAAGAACAGAAATATCAATATCTGGAATAGATCTGAGATTCCAGAGATCAAACCATCTGTATACAGTAACCTAATCTTTGATAAAGCAGACAAAAATATACTATAGGGAAAAGATTCTCTCTTCAATAAATGGTGCTGGGAAAACTGGTTAGCAATATGCAGAAGAGCAAATCAGGACCCCAACCTCTCACCCCTCACAAAAATTCACTCAAGATGGATAACAGACCTAAACCTAAGACATGAAACTTTAAGAATTCTAGAAGAAGATGTTAGGAAAACCCTATCAGATATTGGTCTAGGCAAAGAATTTATGAGGAAGACCCCCAAGGCAATCACTGCCACAGCTAAAATAAACAAATGGGATCTGATCAAATTAAAAAGTTTTTGCCCTGCCAAGGAAACAATCATTAGAGCAAATAGACAACCCACAGAATGGGAGAAAATATTTGCTCTCTACACTTCCGATAAAGGTCTAATAACAAGAATCTATCTAGAACTTAAAAGAATAAACAAGAAAAAATCAAACAACTCCATCAAGAAATGGGCAATGGAAATGAACAGAAACTTCTCCAAAGAAGACAGAATAATGGCCTGCAAACATATAAAAAAATGTTCAACATCTCTAATCATTAGAGAAATGCAAATCAAAACCACAATGAGATACCACCTAACCCCAGTGAGGATGGCCTGTATGAAGAAATCCCAAAACAACAAATGCTGGCGAGGATGCAGAGAGACAGGAACACTCTTACACTGCTGGTGGGACTGCAAATTAGTGCAACCTTTGTGGAAAAGAATTTGGAGATACCTCAAACAACTAGAAATAGAAATACCATTTGACCCAGCAATAGCATTGTTGGGCATCTATCCAAAAGAACATAAGTCACTCTATTATAAAGACATCTGCACCCGAATGTTTATGGCAGCACAATTCACTATTGCACGGTCATGGAAGCTACTCAAGTACCCGTCAATTCATGAATGGATAACTAAAATGTGGTATATACTCACAATGGAATATTACTCAATCCTAAGAAACGATAGTGAACTAGCACCGTTTATGATATCTTGGATTAAGCTTAAGCCTGTAATACAAAGAGAGATGACACAAGACCTGGAAAATGGACTACATATCTACTCACCATCAAATTAGTACTGACAGCCTAAAACTATGGTGTTCAAATAATTGTAGTGTTCAACAGGGATCTGAGGGGGGAGACCCACATCTTAAGGATGTGATGAGCATTGTAGGGGGGAAAGGATTTCCTCTATCCCTTTTTGGGGAGAGGCAGAAAAACACACTGTAACCAAAATGTCTAAAAAATAATAATAATTTGTTAATGGGAGGTGAACAGGTGGAAGGGGGGAGAAGGGGAAGGGTACGTACTTTCATGGTGGGTGCAGGGCGCACCACTTGAAGACTGGACACGCTTGAAGCTCTGGCAGAGTGGGGTGGGGAGGGGGGGCAGAGGCAAGATATGTAACCCTAACAATATTTGTACCCACAGAATTTGAGAAAAATAAATTTTAAAAAAGGCATTGTTAGAAAAATGACAAGGCAAGCCACAGTCTAGGAGAAAATATTCACACTACACATATCTAAAATTGTAACTAGAATATATATAGAATTCTTACAACTCAATAATAAGACACATTTTTAATTGGCAAAATATTTGAAATGGTATTTCACAAAAGAAGATAGAGAAATGGTCAATAAGCATCTGAAAAGATGCTAATTGTTATTGGCCACCAAAGAAATGTAAAATAAAACCACAATGAGATGCCACTGCACACCCATTCGAATGGCTAAAATTAAAAAGCCTAATAAGACCTAACGTTGGCAAGGAAGTGAAGGAATGGGAACTCTTAAACAGTACAGGTGGGACTATAAAATGGTATAACCAATTTGAACAACAAGTTGGCAGTGTTTTAGAAAGTTAAATATATACTTACTCCAGGGCTCAGCAATTTTTTCATAAGTGTTTTACACAAGGGAAAACATGTCTCCATAAAGAGATGTATATGTGAAAGTCCTTAACAGCTTTCTTTCTAAAAGCCAAAAATTACAAATAACTCAAATGTCCAAATCATAATATATACATATAATGAAATTCTGCTCAGCAATAAAAGGAACATTATTAATACAAACAGCAACATGACTGAATCTTTAAAACATTATGTTGAATCAAAGAAGTCAGACACAAAGATCTAATACACTATGATTCTATTTATATGAAACTCTAGAAAATAAAACTCTAGAAATCTAATCTGTGCTGCCAAAAACCAGATCAGTGGTTCCTAGAATTTCTGGGAAATTGACTGGAAAAGAACACAAGGCAACTTATTAGAATGAAGGAAATATTCTTGATTGTGGTGGTGGTGATACAGGTGTATAAATTTGTCAAAAACTCACCAAAATATATGTTTAAAATTGGTGAACTTTGTTACATTATTTACATACTAATGTATTATATTCTATTACATTGTATCATATCATAGTGCATTATGTCATATTGTATTATACTTCATCAAAGTTGACTTTTAAGATTCATATTTGGCTATGAATAAGATTTTATCCATACAAATCTATCACTGCTGGACTTACAACTCTTTAGGTGGGTTTATTACAATGCAAGAAACATTGGAATTGGCTGGGACTTAGGAAATCTGGAACCTGATCTGGAATCAGTCAATGTCAAAACATGTGGTCTGGAGCAAATCTCCATGGTGGCAACTGCAAAATGGGGTCCTTAAACTAGAATGTCTCCGAGTTCTGATATTATATTAGTAACCTATAATTATATTACTTTTCTGATCTGGTAAATAAACCTCAGCTGGGCTGATGAGGCCTTGCCCTAACAGACCATTTTCACACAGCAGATCTGCCATCTCTTCCATTGCAGGAAGGCCAACCTCGCCATCTAGGAAGCTTCCAATATGCATTGTCAAGTCTGTGCCTCTGTTCATATTTTTCTTCTTGCCTGGGGAGTCCTCTATTCCCAGCTGCCCACCCAGATTTCAAGTCCTTAGAGCCTGGAAGCACATCCCTCCCCACCCCATCCCACCCCACCCCACCCTCAATACATTCCTGACATATAGCTCCCAAATGAAACTGCATTCTCATTCTTTACTTAAATGGAGTATTTTTAATCTGCCAAACTAGAATAGATCTATTTTTAATTTTTAAATTGTTTCTTAGGAGTATTTTAAGACTCAGCTTATTGCCGGGCACCTTCATGAAATCCTCTCACAATAACCCTGCTTCTCACTTCCATCCCTTTCATAAAGCCTGTACTCAGTGGCATGCTGAGCCAGCCTGCACAGGCTCACCAGAGCAGATTGCAGGCATCTCTTTCTAGCTCCGTGTTCACTAATACCCAGCTGGTAAATTGAAATCTATTGTGAAGAAATAGTTTTTATCTCAGAAACTGATGAACATTAAAATCAGGACCATATTTTCCCCCTAGAGAGCTAGTTGTTAAACATTTACCAACACACCATTGGCCTTCATCCCTGTACCACATATCGAAGCTGAGTCCATGCTATCTTGTCACCTGCGTGTCAGTCTTATTTCCCAAATTAGATTGTAAGCTCTTAGAAAAAAACATACCAGGACTTGATCTTCCGAATCCTCCACAAAATTGACTCAGAGAAGCACTCCATAAGTATGTTTGATGAGTGTGAAGAATCTAGAAGTCTCACTGCACTGTAATTAGAGCTCAATTTGCCAAGAAGACAGAGCTAGTTATCCACAAAAATAGTGGAACCCGAACAATGAGGGATGGATTCATGTAGCATCCTGGGGTAAATCTCAATGTTTTTCTTCTCAATCTTTCTTCACATTTTTTTCACAGGTAATCAGATGACAGAATCTAGAGCAACCTTGGGAAGAGAAAAAAATATTGCATGGGAGAGGGAAGGGACAGTTTGGATCTAGTTGCCAGTGGCATTGGAACCTATCAAGGACAAGTTTCTGAATTGACAATATGGGTCAGATCTTTATTAGCTGCATTTTTCCAACTCTTTGTCTCTGCTAGTTGGTAAATGTGTTCACTGTCCAAATCGAGAGACTAGAGTAAGGTATCATATTAGCAAAGTATCTTTATGCTCCAACATTACCACCAATCCTGGGTCCTCTCTTCTTGTTGTTATTATATAGATTTAAAGAGCACTAGCTCTCAAATCAAGTTGCTTGAATCAATTCTCTTCTCTACCACCTAACTGTGCAGCCTTGAGCAACGCATTTAGCCTTCACCACCCTCATTGTCATCTGTAAATCAGGTAAAAGTGGTACTTTTACCTCAGAGGAATACTGTGAGGATTAAATGAGATAATTCACCCAAAGCACTAAGCACAAGGGAAATGTCCAATACGTGTTATCTCTTAAAATTATCATTGGTATGATATGTAATAGGAAAAAAAAAACAATCCAAGAATATTTGAAAAGTCAACAAAAACAAAGAACAAAAACGTGTGAGTCAATGAAGGATGAAAGAGAGAGAGAGAAATTGTAGATCATCGTCTTGGGAAAATAAGAACACTAAAACAGACTAATAAAATGAAGAGTTAGTGCAGGAAATGTTTTAGTCATGAAGAGTATATGTCAAAAAAAAGAGAAAATAGAAAAATTTGAAGATGGAAAGAGGCTATTGTAGAATTTATAGATACTTATAAAAAATCATGTATCTGTTCTTTAAATCTGAATGAACCTTTGAGGGAAAAGGAAAAAATTTAAAATCTGCAACTTATCTCCTGAAGAATGATGTTGCATGTAAATGACTCCTGCAGAAAACAGACAAACAAACAAAACCCTATGGCTTCCTCTTTAGAGACAAGTAAATTCTAAGATGCTGGGGCTGGATAAAGTGACCTCTTTAAAAATCTGAGATTATTATAGCTATCTGAAGAATACAGAGGAAGAAAAACATTTAATCATAAGATGAATGTGGGAAAGAAATTGCAAAGCTACGCTTTTAGGACTTGAGCCCAACTGGTGTATCTGTGATGTGTCCCATCTAGAATTCCAGATCCTGGCACAGGGTGGGTGCAAGAACAAGTGGGACTGGGACTAGAACCTGCCTAAGCTAAGAAGGAGAAACAGGTATTCCCAACAGCTCTCAAATCTGGTCTGACAGTATCTATAAAAACAAACTAACATAAATGCAAAAAAAACCTGTTGCCTCTTTGGAGGCATATAATGTCCTGATCACTTACCTCTCTAGGTAGGGCTGTAGCTTAGATAAAGAGTGGTGTACGGCATGCCCACTGGTCTCTCTGGCTCCTCCCATAAGGGGAGGAGAAAGTGCTATAAACTCAAGAGATCAGGGGCCGGGCGCGGTGGCTCACGCCTGTAATCCTAGCTCTATGGGAGGCCGAGGCGGGCGGATTGCTCGAGGTCAGGAGTTCAAAACCAGCCTGAGCAAGAGCGAGACCCCGTCTCTACTATAAATAGAAAGAAATTAATTGGCCAACTAATATATATACAAAAAATTAACCGGGCATGGTGGCGAATGCCTGTAGTCCCAGCTACTTGGGAGGCTGAGGCAGGAGGATTGCTTGAGCCAGGAGTTTGAGGTTGCTATGAGCTAGGCTGACGCCATGGCACTCACTCTAGCCTGGCACTCACTCTAGCCTGGGCAACAAAGTGAGACTCTGTCTCAAAAAAAAAAAAAAAAAAGAGAGATCAGGAAGGGAATCTCAGAGGAAAATCCATGTTGTCTATACCTGCTGTCCTGGGTCTCTTTTCCTCAAGGCTTCCGGAATATCTCAAGGGAATCTGTGGAGTCAGACTCTAGAAAGGTGCCAAGGGATCTTATTTAAAATGAGAATTTTTAATTGTCCAGGTGGTTAGTACTTTGAGATTCCTGGAGCCATTCTCTCAGATGTTTTCCCTTTCCCTTATCCTTGACTTTATTGAAAGAGATGGTATATGAATGGTGCAAGAATTGTTGGTGCAAGAAGATGGTGGCTTAGTCTCTGTAGTGTTTCCCAGGTAGAGGACACTATGTGAGCAAATAAAATTCAATATTTCCCAACGACATCCATTTGTTAATGAGTTCAATTTCAGCAGTATAGATTTTCCTAGAAAATCATGGCATGGGTATTAGTAGTCAGACTACTTCTAGGTAGCTTTCCAGGGTATGTCCAGTTCCTGGCATCTTGAGTTTCATATCATCGCACAATGCCAGCTTCCTTTGACTAATACAAGTTCCTCTTCCATCCATAACCCTTAAAGTTCTTCTGAGACTGTAGCAAGTGATCTTTTGATTTCTCCATTTGACCTGTTTATTGTCCTCTTTCCTACATGGAAGTTATGGAATGGTGTGAAGAATTTAATGTGCTGTAAATTACTTCTTATACCAAAAGACCATTCCATCAGGCTATGATTGTGCACTTTTGATTTAGTGCATGCACACACAAGAATTATAATCAAGTAGTCATGTCAACTACAGCACCTGTTTCCACCCACCACAGTTAAATGTCCTTAAACAACCATAGCATTTCAATAGCAGTCAGGATTAAGAATTCTTGCATTGCCCCCAAATCATGTTCTACCTCATTTTTTCTAACCTAGTAACCTCTTAATCCATTCTTTCCTCAAGTTCATGGTGACCTTGATACCTTGAGTAACACTTAAGACTTTAGAAGTTATCTGAAGCATATTCACAAACCTTTGAATTAATCTTCAGTCATCTCCATGATCTTTGCCTTTCTCCTAGCCTAGGTTCTTTCAGCTCTTCTATCTGACAGAGGCAATGCCATCCCTGGTTCTTAGCCCCCCCATTACTTTTCACATTATGATGTTCAACCTTATGGAAAAGTTGCAAGTATAATACAAGGAACTCCTGCATATCCTTTTCCTGGATTCACCAGGATTCACCAGTTATTTACATTTTACCCCATATTTCCCTCCTCACCTTTAAATCTAAATTATATAGAATAAGTTGGAGACATCATGTCCTTTTACTCTTAAATACTTTAGTGGTTGTTTCCTAACAAAAAGGAAATTCTTTTATATAACATAATCAAATTATAAAGGCACCAAGTCAAGAACCACTGTTTCTCCTTAACACTTATTTGCAGAAAATAGAAATTAAGATTTAAAGTTCAGTTTCCCACATCACAGTTCTAGTGCTTCACCTTATGAAATGGAATGAACTCTGCTCTTCTGATTCTTGCTGACCTCATTGTTGTCCTAAAATCCTGAGAAAAAAAATATCTGTTCCTGAAAAGAAAGAGTAGGAGGCTAGTCTCTTTAGAGTGACTGATCACCCACTATGAATGTCCATTTAGAAACTCTGCACATGCTCATCCCTAATTTTTTCCATGACCTAAATAATTTCTCTTACTTTCCCCTTGATTATGGTTCGTCTATCATCCTAGGCAAGATTGAGTGCCATTTTTTTCTCTCCAAATTCTTCTTTTTTATCTTTTTCAAACTTACAGAAAAGCTGAAAGTTCAGTAACTTTTTTTTTGAATCATTAGAGAGTAAGTTACTGACACAAAGGAGATCACCCTGAAATATTTTAGTATTTCCTACAAACAAGGACATTCTCCCACAAAACCACAGATTAATCATCAAAATCAGAAAATTAACATTCAGTCATTACTAGGTCCCATTCAATATTTTTCCAGGTGTGTCAATCACATATCTTTTATAACAAAAGAATCCAGTTCAGAATCAAACTTTAAATTTATTGCCATTTCTTATTACTCTTCAATCTAGCAAAGACCCTCAACCTTTCCTTGCCTTTCATTACCTGGAAATTTTCAAGGATCACATGCCAGTTATTTTGTTGAATGTCCCTGAATTTTAGTTGTTCTCATGTTTCACATTTATGGTATGGGTTTTTGGCAGAATGGGAGGGATGCTGCATGTTTCCATTATATCCTATCAAGAGGTACATGATTCTAAATTATCCCATTTCTAATGATGTTTGCTTGATTATTTGATTAATGAGGCATAAATTAGGATTCTCTACTTTGGAGTCACTCTTTTTCTCTTTTAAATTAATAAATATTTTTCAAGGAGGTAGTTCAAAATTATGTACATATTCTGTTCATTGCTAAACTTTTTATTATTTATTCATCTATATCATTTTAGATTCATGGTTTACTATTTTGTTCAATTGATTATAATTACAGTCATTACTTATATTGATGGTAAAATTATTCTCAATTTGGTCAGTGGGATCCCCTTTAAGCTAGCTTTGGTATCTTTTTGACAAGTCTCCATTATCACTAATAATCAGGGACATGTAAATCAAAACCATAATAATATATCACCTCACATCTGTTACAACAGTTATTTTTAAAAAGAAAAAGAAACGTGGTGATGAGGATGTGGAGAAATTGGAACCCTCGTACACTATTGGTGAGAATGTGCTTTGGAAAATAATATGGAGATTCCTCAAAAAATTAAAAATTAAACTACCATATGATTCAGCAATCCCACTTCTGGGTTTATATTCAAAGACTTGTAATCAAGAGCTTCAAAATATATCAAGACTTCCACGCTCATTGTAGCTTTATTCACAATAGCCAAGATATGGAAATAACCTAAGTGTCACTCAAGGGATAAATGGGTAAAGAAAATGTGGTATGTACATACAATGGAGTACCATTAAGCCTAAGGGGGGGAGGGGAGGAAATCCTGCCACATGTGAAAACAGGAATGAACCTGAAAGAAACTATGCTAAACAAAATAAAATAGTCATGATTCTACCTGCATGAAGTATCCAAAACAGTCAAATTCATAGGAGTAGAGTAAGTTGATGGTTGCCAGGGGCTGGGAGGAGGGATAAATGGGTAGGTACTGTTCAACAGGTATACAATTTCAGTTATGCAATATGACTAAGTTCTATGGATCTGTTATACATCATTGTGCCTATAGTTAATGATACCATATGATGCACTTAAAAATTTGTGAAGAAGGTAGATCTTATGTTAAGTGTTTTTACCCCAATAAAAGAAAAATATTTCACCCATGTGAATGAGCATAGTGAGAAAGGAAAGATACTTTTTATCTGAGGAATGTGAGCCCCCTTTAAATTATCAGGCCCAGAGAAGCATTAAAATGAGATAGCAGTGACATCTCACTTTTCCCCCTTGAGCTAAGTAATCCACCTGCTATATGGACTCTAGACTGAGCGTTACCAATAGCTATTAATTAACCCAACAATGCCACACACTGGACACCCATAAGTCATGCCCTATAGTTCAACAATGTATAACCAATCACTAATCAATGTTATTTCTGTAAACCAATGAGAATTTCTGAAAAACAACTTTGGTCATCACTCCCTCTACTGATTTGTCCACTTTTTCTTTAAAAATTCGATCGCCTTCATTGTTCTCTGAAGCACTTCCTAGTGATTCCTGGGCTATAGTCCTCAATATTGGCCCAAATAAACTCTCTATATTAATTTTGTCTCAATTTCCTTCTTTAAGTTTATATTGGCAAAGTGCCTGACTCAGAGGGAGTATTTCTCCTTCTTTTCTTTTGTTTCTTCACTTTAAAATAATCAATACAGATTTGCATTACTGCTTACTGAACTCCACAGAATATTTGCTGAGTCCCGACCACATAGGAATCAAAGTGCTAGATGATGGATGGAATAAAGAGGAGAAGAACAAAAAATACTTTAAGGATGACACCCTTTTATATATACCAATAAAAAGGTGGGTATATACAAATACCAATAGTATGAGATAGAATGCTAAAATTTCCAGAAATTTTCATAATAAGAAGAATGGTTTTGAAGCAATTACTATGCACAAAGCACTGTGCTAAGTGCTTAGTTTGCATTATAGCACTAAAACCCCAAGAATGTGGGCAGTTGTGTGCCTGTTTCACATGTGAGGAACCACAGGTTCAAAAAATTTGAATGCTTGCCTAAGTTTCCACATTTAGAAAATAAGACAGCTAGATTTGGAATGCAGGTTTTTCTGATTCCAAAACCTTTGCCCTTCACTGCTATGGCATCAGGAGGTGGAAACATCCCAATTTATCAGATAAAGAGAGACTTTATGAAGCAGATAGTATATGAGATAGACTTTAAGAACTGCTGGAGTTCTGTGAAGCGGAAATATGTCTGAAGCTACCTCAGTTATAGAGAAGAGAATGGGTAAAATTCTCAAAATGGGTCAAATATTTAAAAGGAAATACCAAGGGCATGCATGAAGATACACAAATAGAAGAGTTTGACTGCACAATAGGATCTGTGGAGGAAGTAAGACCAGACCACTAGATTGGGAAAGAATTGTAAATGGCTCCAGATTCCAGGATAATGAGTCTGTATTTCATCCCAGATGTGAAA